TAGATGGTGCCCGGTTACCACCACTGACTGCTCTGACCAGCATTACAACAGAGGGTTCTGGACAGAGCTGGAGAAGGATGTAGAACAAAATTCTAACTCACAAAAAAAAGACCAGATTTACTGGCCTAAAGGAGACTGGAGAAACCCCGAGAGTAGGGCCCCCAGACACCCTTTTAGCTCAGTGGTGAAGTCATTTCCGAGGTTCACCGTTCAGCCGGGGAGTGGACAGCCCCGTAAAACCGAATGGGACTAATGAGGCACAGCAGTCCAAGGACAAGGTCCAGAAGGCGAAAGGGGACAGGAAAGCTGGTGATAGGGAACCCAAGGTTGAGAAACGATAGTGTTGATGTATTGTGACGTCGTCAACCATTGTCATAGAGCAACATGTGTACTAACTGTTAAATGAGAAACTATTTTGTTCTATAAGCCTTCATCTAAAGTGAGAATAGCAGCACAACTGGAAGAGCGTAGTTGATGTCACTGAACTGTGCATGTAGAAGTTTTTGAAATGGTGTATCTTTGGCTATGTATATTTCCACCAAAAGAAAAAAAAAAGGTCGAGAAGAGAGAGGGTTGACATGTTGTGGGGTTGTTAACGAATGTCATAAAACAATATGTGTACTACTGTTTCATGAGAAACTATTTGTTCTGTAAGCCTTCACCTGAAGTACAATAAAAAAATTTAAAAAAAAATCCAGCCCTCCAGTTGTTTTCGTAAATAAATTTTTATTGGACCACAGGCATGCTCATTTGTTTATGAAATGTCTATGGTTACTTTTGCACTACAATGGCAAAGTTGAGTAGTTGCCACAGAAACTGTATGGACCATACAGCTTAAAATACTACTACCTATAAGGTCACTGTGAGTCAGAATCAACTCGATGGCAACGAGTTTGTTTTTTGTTTTTTTGTTTTTATCTGGCCCTTTACAGAAAAGGTTTGATCCCTGGCCCAGATGGGCTAATAGGGCAAAACTGGGAATAGGCTCACTGGTATCTGAAAGTCCTGGAGCAAAAAGTGGAAAGCAAAGTATTTTTGCTACTAGAAGGGAGATAAAACAATGAGATCCTATGAGCTACAAAATGAAGGTGTTAAATATTAGATATAAGATCCCTCTTGCAGCTTTTTCCAAGTTATCATTTATTAAACTATATGTGAGACTCTGTGCTAAACTATTTAATGCAAAAGTATAACCAGTTTCTGCTATCAGGGAATTTTTTTTTAACGCCATCCTCTAACTCCTCTAAGGACCTTTTGAGAAATAGGCACTATACTACTGTTTTAAGCTAGGGCATTATTATCCTCATTTCATTCATCAGGAAACTGAAAAAGAGAAAAGTAATTAAGTTAGAGTTACACAGGTAGAAGCGGAAGAGATAGGTTTCAGGTACAGCATGATTTTCGGAGACAGAAGGCCTCCACAGACATTTAAAAATGTGTGTGTGTGTGTGTGTGTGTGTGTGTGTGTGTACACAATATATATTCACACACACACATTAAAAAAAAAAGTCAGCGCTAAGAACCCACCCAGTGGCTCCACAGGAGAAAAGACCTGCTGATCTGTTCCTGTAAAGATTTGTTGCTGTTGTTATGTGTCAAGTGTGATTCTGACTCATAGCGACCCTACAGGACAGAGGAGAACTGCCCCATAGGGTTTCCTAGACTGTAATCTTTACGGGAGCATATCACCAGGTCTTTTCTCCCACAGAGCCACTGGTGGGTTCGAACCGCTGATCTTTCAGTTAGCAGCTGAGCGTTTAACCATGGTACCACCAGGGTCTAGGAAAGCCTATGGGGCAGTTTTATTCTGTCTTACAGGGTCACTATGAGTCCAAATCGACTCAACAGCACACAACAACAACGATGACATCCTTTGGTGATGAGATTATTGGTAATTTCTATTTTCCCCCTTTAGCCCCTCCTCAGTCTCCTTTGTTGGATCTTTTTTCTTTTCCTACCACAAAATACTGGCAATGCTCAAAGTCCTGTCCTTAGCTTTCTCCCTACAGTTTCAACTATAACTTCCCTGCTATCTGGTTCCCAAATCTATAACTCTAATGTACACATCTCTTGTGAGCTTTAGACCCTGACCTCCTGAAGTCTGTGGCATACCTTTTTTCAACCTGAATGGCTTCCCAGCTCTTCAAACTTAAAACATCAAAACCAAATTCATAAGCTTTGCTAATTTGAAAAGTATAATGAACCAGACAACAACATACCATTTTCAGCCATTTAGTTCCATATGAACCCACCTATTCAAAGTATAGTATAAAAGCTTAAATGTTCATGATTTTCCATTTAAATGAGGTAACTTGGCTAGGAAAATGCTGACATTTCCTAAAGGCAGTATTTTTTAAAGCCTTCTAAAACCAATACTTGCTTGTCACAAAAACCAATACTGTACTTGTGTTACGTAAGTGCATATTATATACTGCATATATGTCTAAACAGAAAAACAATGGCAAATACAGAGAAATATGGGGGATACTAACTATCAGAGCCTCTTTCTCACTCAGTAAAATAAATTACCTCAGAAAAACTGAAATTTCACTAGCCTATAATCACTATTCGAGAGCAAACAAAAACAACTTTTAAAAAGTGAATGTTCACATTGTATATAGGATTAAATCAAGCAACAGTATGAATAAAATAAGCATATATACTTAACGTTTCCATTCAATCAAGTATCTCTATAAAATATTTTTAAATTCCCTTATTCTCTTTGACCAAGGAAAACATGAATTTGAATTTACCATTAAACAGCTACAATAAAATTTAAAAGATGAGTGCATCACCCAGGATCAACTTATAACACTTGACCTCACCAGGAATTGCATCATATAATCCAAAGCATGAACTCAAAAGCCACTAAAATATGCAGAAATTTTTGTATGCCACATTTTCTCCCCTAACTTCTTGCTTGAGCTTCTAAATTTCAAATGCTATGTAGTAATTTACACTATTTGAATTTAAGTAATTTTCCAAAAACAAATCTAAAAATTATAAAATCATAACCAAATTTTATCTCAGTTTATGGAATTTTCTTATCTTCTGTTGAGAGAATATATGGCTAAAATTGAAAAGCCTGACAATATTAACTGCTGGTAAGAGAGTAGACAAGTGGAACTCTCCCACATACTGCGAGTGGGAGTGTAACTTAGTACAACTACTTTTGCAAACTATATAACAATATCTATAAATGCTAAACATATGCATGCATACTCCCATAACCCAGCAATTTAACCCCTAGGTGTAAATCAGATAGAAACCTGTATACATGTGCAACAGTATTATTGCAACAGGCAAAAACTGGGATACCCAAATAACCATTAACAGTAGAATAGATATATAATAGATATATAATTTGTGCTATAATCATACAACAGAACACTATAAAGCAATGGAAAGAATCCTACCACACTGACATCAACGAATCTCACAACAGAACACTGAGGGAAAGAAGCCCAAAATAGTACATACTGAATTATTCTATTTATATAAAGTTCAAAAGCAGGTAAAATGTTTCTGGGGTGTTAGAAGTCAAGAATGGTCAACTTTGAAAAGCTGGAGATTAGTGACATAAGACACTTATTAGCGTACTGATAATGTTCTATTTTTGGTTTTGGGTGGAGGGTCTGTTCACCGTGAGAAAATTCATTATGATTTACTTTAAAAAATTCAAGACGTGTGTATAAAAAATTATACCCGAAGGTCATTACTGATATGCATGTCAATCATTTAAGATGCTTTCTGAAGATGACGTATAAGCATATATAACTGGTAAAATTCTTTTTAAAATTTTATCTTGATACTCAAAGGACAAAAGAATGTATGCGGCCCATCAAAAACTTTCTCTAGAAAGTTTATCTCAAATAAATTGAATTCCCTTCCTAAATAACAGAAGTCATAATAGAAGATTAATTAAATTTAATTGCTCTATATAAAAAAATCAAATTAAAAGGAAATGCTTTAAATTTTTTGTTAGTAAATATTCTGAAAATTACTTTAATGAACAAATAAAATGCAAATTTAAGAAATCAACCAATGACCTGAAGTTATCTGGAATTAATTCTTCAGATCTTAAAAGGCTTAATCTAAATGCACATTTATGTCTTATAGCTTACACACTACACACTCTTGTAATATACCCTGGTCTTCAGATTTCTTGATCATAATTCCCATTACTGAAAGCCATGGTAGCAGAATCTTTCAAGATTTTCTTACTGGCACTACAATGACTATCACTCTAAAACCAAAAACCCAAACCGACTTCCATGGAGTCGATTCTGACTCATGATGACCCTACAGGACAGAGTAGAACTGCCCCCACAGGGTTTCCAAGGCCGTAATCTTTATGGAAGCAGACTGTCCATCTTTCTCTCACGGAGTGGCTGGTAGGTTTGAACCGTCGACCTTTCCATTAGCAGCTGAACACTTCAACCACAGTGCCACCAGGGCTCCTTGACTATCACTCCAACCATACCTTTACAGTCAACTCTGGCCATTTGAAGCAAACCAAATCCTACTGTATACAAAACAGCACTGAACACAATATCTAAACCCGAAATATTTTCAAAACTACACAAAACAGCACTGAATACTAGATCCAAACCTAAAATACTGACAAAACTGACAACTGCTGCCATTAAAGAAACTGTGTAAGAACAGACCTAGGCAATTTCCTGGAGTTTAAATAGTTAATCTTTATCTCAGTGTAACAAAAGTAATATAAAACATGCACAAACTATACACAAGAAAAGGAGTGACCATACAAACTTTTTTTAAACCATCTTTAAACCTTCTCCAGGCTCAAACTGCAAAAAACGTAAAATAGTCTCAGCAGATAAACTAATTTAAGAAGATAGCGATAACCGCTATAGCAATTAAACTGTACCATCTTTAAAAAGTCATCTCTTTTACATTTTCCTCTACTTGATATTGTAAGTCAGTGAACTTAATATAAAAGAAAGAGAAAGAAAAAAAGAAAAAGAAAAACTTACTGGAATTGAAAATTCTTCAGCCAAATACTTCAATAAAGCTGCTTCTCTTGCCAAGAACTTGTTTCTTTCTTTCAAATTGCCTTGAAGTTGTGTATCAAACTCCTTTCTGACCACAGAAGCAACAGAGTCAATAATCACAAGTTTAACTCCCTTTGAAATAATTTCTTCTTCCAAAGACTCAATTCTGTAAAAGCAGAATTTGTAAAAGAGTAGATAAATGTAAGATATAATAATGAAAACCCTATGGATCAGGACCATCATGGAGCTGTCATGAATCAGGGACAGTTAACAACAATGACAACAATAAAAAAACAATAAAAGGAAAAGAGAGTATTGCAAAGATTAATCAAACAAACAAAAAACAACAGCAACAAATTGCTCTTCCCTAAATTACAATAATGATTGGAAGAATTTGATAAACTTATTTTCAGCTCTTCTATACATATTGCATTCTTTTGGAAACAGAACAAAATATTTTCATGTAGTTTCGTCCATGGCGCTCTCATAATACCGTTAAAACTGCAATTTTGGAGTAAAACAACATGTCATAGCCAGTCTATATAAAGAAGCAAATAATCATACCATGGTTAATTAAATATTAGTATGATATGTTAGGGAAATAATCCAAGCTCTACCTCTCGGTCAGCTGAATGGCCTTATACTCAAGAACACTACAGATTTTAAAACTCATAGTTTTGCTGTAATACTTTGTGACATTATGCCCCACAACAAGTAGGCAGATTTCTCACCTCGTTCAGGTATCACCTTTAGCTTTTTGGCATTCATCCTTCCATCTGCATATGGATAACTGGATGCAGAGTAATTGTGGATTCATTTTTGGGGAGAATACTAATACAGTAGCCAAGAAGAAGAGGCTGCATCCATGGAATGCAACCATACATACATACTTATTCGTTCATTTTTCTCAGCTCCCAAATTCAATTCCTATTGGTTCTACCTCCAAAATATTTCTCTAAAACCCAGTGCAATTTTCTCCATCTCCACTGTCAATCTCCTAAACTATGTTTCATTATCTCTCACCTACCTAAAAACTCTTCCTTGTCCATCTAAAATCCAGTCTCCACAAAGAGCCAGACTGATCTTTTCCGAATGGACATTAGATAATATTAAGGCTTTCAGCAAAGTTCTGCAGTGCTTCTCACTGCACTTGGAATACACGCTCTTCCAGATTTACAAGGCCTATGTGATTTGGCTCTTCTTCTAATCTCAGTCTTACCAGTCTCCCTTTTGCTCCCTAGTCTCCAACCACACTGGTCTCTTTTCTGGGTCCTTGCATTGTTGCTTCCCCTGCCAAAAATGTTCTTGACCTAACTTTTGGCACGGCCAGCTCATTCTCTGTCCACACCTCACCTTCCCAAAGAGGCTTTCCTTGACTTGCTTGTTTAGGACCTCATGTGGGTACTCTGCATCTCATCATTTGTATTTTCTTTCCTTCATATCGCTTATCACAAGCTGTAATGACCTTACTGATTAATTTCTTTCTTGTTTATTACCTATGTTCCCCCACTAAAATGTAAGCTCAATGAGGGCATACATCTACTCTATCTTGTTCAACACTGTATTCTCTGTATTTTGCATAGTGTCTAGTATGTAGTAAGACAATAACATTTGCTTGCTGAATGAATGAATCAGTGATGGTGGGGTCAAAGAACTCCAGAGAGAATTTGTGAAGAAGTAGGGTTTGAATTAGAAAGGAAAGCATTGCTTGATGGAATTTATAAAGCATAACCAATTATTTTCCTCAAAAACATGAAATATCATAATTCTAACACGTAAGGACCTTTTTTTTTTTAACTCAGAAGCTGAAAATGTGAAAAGCAAAAAATAAGTCTTCAAAATATTACTAAATACCAAAATCTAAAAGAGCATACCTTTGTAGTACTTCATCACAGGTGAGTTCCCGATAAAGATGAACTTTACTACTTGTCAAAAGTAATTTTTCTTCAGTGTTAAAATATCTGGGAAAACGGGATTCTGCTATCTCAACCAGTCTGTGAGAGGAATGAAAAGCACAAATGAAAACTGTCAGTGATATTTAAGACCACACTGCTGAACCGCTAATAAATTTTACTTGGGAACTCTTAAGCCACAAGTAACACTGAAACAAAGGCCTTATCAATAGAGCAGATATAAGCGAAATGACTACCTGTCCAAGTTTAGAATGTAAGCCCTCCTTTTAAAGCACTGACAGAGGTCAGCAGCCAGAGCATGAGACCAGCAAGCGCTTTTAGATTTCATCTAATCTTCAGCAAGGGAGAATGTCTACTAGCTTTATCTTTCTGGAAATACATATGTTTTCATAAACAGTATTTTTGACTAGCAGCTACAAGATATGTTTAGTAAATAAGAAATACTTTTGTTTTCAGGGGTGAAAGAAATATATTTGAAAAAATATGGTATATTATCATCGCAATAATCAGACATCAGTAAGTCTTCATGTCTCAATCCAGAAAAAAAATGCTTTCTCAATTAAAACTTAGTTCATACAAATAAACACTATCTAACAGTTCCTTGGTAAATAGCAAATCATATTCTAAACAAATGAATGCTATTCAATAGTTTATTGGTAAATATGAAATTATTTCTAAACAAATGAATGCTATTCAATAGTTCCTTAGTAAACAAAAAATTATTTTCTAAACACTGAATTCTGACCTCAATGCTAGATCAAATCGGTGGGACAGGCCAAGCAAGTTGAAAAGATGCAACTACCTTCACGAATAGCACAAGACATAAGACAACTACAAAATATTTCAAATATTTCAGGTTAAAAATGTTTATATATATAAATATACATATATCTCTCTGAGTGTAACTGTCTCCCATTTAAAATGATATTTTATCAACTCTAATACTTAACCATCCAAGGAGGAGTGGGAGAAGGGACTGTAAACAGTAAAACTATTCTATATTTTATGTTCTACATAAAACAAAAAAAGAATAGTGTTTTCATGTCTAAGTAGTTAGAGAATTCCAAGAAGAGACTAAGAACTTTAAAGAGATAAAATAAGTTCCTTACATATGCTATAATCAGAAACAAAAGAGAAAAACCTAAAACAGGAAAAGAGAAGAGAGAAATAAAAAAGAACTACAGAAAAATGTTTTTAGTATATTTTGAACAATTTGACACACAGACACACACAAAACACAATTAGGTTAATAAGGAAGAGGAAAAATTACTTCAGGAGTAAGGAGTAGTACCAAGAGATGTGTAAAGAGTGAGAAGAAAATGAATCAAATGGCCATTCAGGAGAAGTGCTTGAGAAAGGCATGTTTTGAAATGGAATAAGGAAATGAGGTAAGCGATGAAGGCTTAAGAGGATATGAGAGATGCCATTGGCAAAGGCAGAACAGGCAAACTCTGAGGGTTAGGGGAAAATGTGTAAATTTTTTGATTAGGGCAACTATTTGCTGAATTTAGTGCTAGACAGAGAAGTCAGCTAAAAAGCTCTGGTACTTGGAACTCACCAATATATAATGGGATAGGGATGGCAACATCTACCAGAAACATGGAAGTTTTTCAAAATATGGGTGCCCAGCTGATTAGAAACCAGACTGAGAGCATCCAACTCATTGGCAACAACCAGTGAACAGGTGACAGACAATAATTATTTTCTAACCTCTAGCACTAGGCTGGATTTCAACTAGTGGCTTGAGTGGTGAAAGGCTCTGGAATTTATTACTGTTCTCTCATTCCATTAACGCCCCACAGAAGGAATGATGTTCAATGTATGGACATGAATTAAATTTGTTCACAGTTACCATGCTATATTACTGAATCCAATAGTTATTTACACACCAATGCGCTGTGATTTTCTATGACAAATTTCTCCAAATATTTTTTATTTCAGAAAAAAAAAAATCAAAAGCCAAATATAAATGTAGTATTTTATATGCTTTATATTAATCATGGTAATTTCTTCTGACAATCTTCATCATAAAGTCTTTTTTGGTTAAAAAAAGCAACAGAAAAAAGATCCTATCTTTTAATCCTAGACATTAATTATATAAAGTTTGAAAGCAATGACATCTAGTGGACACTTCTTTATAAACGGTATTCCCTTCAAAGGAGTCCCTGGGTGGTGCAAATGGTTAACGTGCTGGAATACTAACAGAAAGGTTGGAGGTTCAAGTCCACCCAGAGGCACCTCGGAAGAAAGGCCTGGCAATCTACTTCCAAAAAATCAGCCACTAAAAACCCTATGGAGCACACATGGAATTATCTAGCTCGTTAACTGTTTGCACTACCCAGGGACTCCAGCTAGGCTATGTTGTTGTTGTTGTTGTTAGTTGCCATTAAGGTGATTCCCACTCATGCAAAGTCCCCAGTTATTCAATCAAACACTAATCTAGGTATTCCTAGGAAGGTATTTTGTAGATGTGATTAAAGTCTATAATCAATTTACCTTAAGTAAGAAAGATTATCCTAGATAATTTGGTTGGGCCTGATTCAATCAGTTGAAAGTCTTTAAGAGCAGAGCTAAAGCTTTCCTTAAAAAGAATTTCACCTCTCAACTACAGCTTCAGCTCTGCCCCTCCTTACAGCCTGCCCTACAGATCTGGGACTTGCTTAGCCAGCCCCCACAATCATGTAATCCAATTCCTTGCAATAAATTTCTTCATCTGTTTCTCTGGTGGACCTTAGCTGATACAATATGTTAACATGTAATGGATTTCGTGTTGTATTTTTAAGGAGTCCTGGTGGCACAGTGGTTAACAGTCTGGCTGCTAACCAAAAGGTAGGCAGCTCGAATCCACCGGCTGATCTTTGGAAACCCTATGGGGCAGTTCTACACTTTAATTAATAGTTAATTTTTTTTTAATTTCTCAATTTAAATTTCTAATATGGTAAATATCAATTGACATAACTCACCTAAACTAAAGAGAACAAAAAGTTTAAGAACTATGACCATAAAGGAAAAGACTGAAAAATTTAACCTCCAAAAACTTCATATATAATAAAAGATAGTGTGACCAAAGTTAAAAGATGACAGACTAGGAGAAGTATTATATAATAGACATCAATATCTACAATATACAAAGTTTTTCTATAAATCCATGAGGAAAAAAAATGGGCAAAGTACATTTCTAGGGAATTTGCTGAAGAAATATAAATGGACAAGGAACATATGAAAAGATGTTGGCCCTCAACTGTTAAAACAATGAGATACCACTTTTTTCAAATAAGTATGAAAAAAATTAAAGAGATTAATAACAGAGTATTGATGAAGGAGGCTCTCAAAACACTGCTGGTGGGAATATAAATATATACAATATTTCTGGAGGGGACTGTGGCAATTTGTATCAAAATTTAAAATAAGTGCACCTTTGATGGGTTACTGATTATTTAAATCATTAACATAAAGACAAAACTTAAGTATATTAGTAAAAAACTGTAGGAGAATATCTTTGAAACCTCATGGTGGTGAGAAAACTTCTTAATTAAGATTCAAAAACCAAATTCATAAGGCAACACTGTCAAAATTAAGAATTTCTGTTCAACAAAGGATGCCATAGATAAAAACAACAAAGGATGCCATAGATAAAAACAACCAAGAGAAGATATTTGCAATACATAAAACTGATAAAGAATTAATATCTAGAAGATAGAAGACATACTAAGAACTGCAAATCAAAAAGACATGACTGTAAGCCTAGTGGAAAATGGACAAAGATGAAAGAGGATTTGAGTTCACATCTCATCTCAAGCACTTACTAGCCATATGACCTTGGGCAAATCACATGACTTCTGAGCCCCAGTTTCCTTATTTCTAAGTTTGAGATAATAATACTTGCCCTACTTACCTCACGATGCTGCTGTATGGATCAACTGACATGAGTATCAGTCAATTAGACCACGCCAAAATGTGTCCTAATTTATATAATGTAAGCAAATGTTAACTATAGCAGTGGCTCACAGACTTATTAGTCTCCACAACCCTCACATTATCGGATGTCTAGCATTCCTGGGCCCCACCTATATATTATTGTGAAAACCATTTATTTTTGTACCTCCCTACAAATTTCCAAAGCACTTCATGAGGGGAATACTGCCTGTCTTCCTCCCCTTAGTGAGAACTACTGATTTATAAGATGGAGGTAGTATCAGTCTAAAGAACCATGCTGTAAAATAAGCTAACTTTATACTCTTGACCCACCAAACCCAAAACTGTATCCCTGAAAACCTATTAAATTTTCTATTTCAAAAATTTCCTTCTCTGTGGAGGAATCATTTGCATATTAATTGCTAATAGGCTGGTTTGAGATAAAACATTGCCAACTTCTCTTTCCCTATCATCCAACTTAACTTCCTGCACACAACATCCCTGCATCCACACTCAATGTCCCACTACCCACAGCCACTCATTCCTGACAGACAAATAATGCTAGCTATCAACTCTACAATCAAAAGATTTGCTGTAGTAGAAAGCCTCAGCAAAGGGTTAGAATTGTACCTCTTTTAAAACGAGTTCCAGGTCACATTTCAGTTTTTCATTCTCCATCAAATCTCATCTTGAAGGTGACTATACTTTAATTTGGACCTGAAAGCTACAATGTGTTTTAAAGATTCCAGTTCTGGAAAGAGTAAACTTCCTGTGGACTTCTTTGCTCATCAGTCCCAGAATCAAAACGCATATGTCAATTAAGCAGGAAAAAACCCTGTTCAGCATTATTAGTTCCCCCTGTGACTTCACAGCTCTTGTATAAAATAAAAGCAAGATAAAAGCTTTTCATTAGTGACCACATGCCAACTTGAAATAAAAAATATGCTTAATGCAAAAAAAATTTCCAAAATTCTAAATGAAAAACAGCAACATAAATGTGCTGAATTTTAAGTTCATGGTTTCTCAAAACTTCCTGTACATATGTAATATTTTCTTGTTTATTCATTCAATATATATTTGCTCAGCACTAATAATCTGAATCTATTACTTCCTTGCAGATTCCAGAAAATCCCAAAGTTTTGTTTTAGAAATAATAAGTACTTATT